TTTTTTTTTTTTTTTTTTTTTTTTTTTTTTTTTTTTTTTTTTTTTTTGTTTCTTTCACTTTATGTGAAAATGTAACTATAATGATAATAGTAATGTACACGTTGAACAATTAAAATATATATTAGCAACTGGTAACTACTTTCTTTGTCATTCAACGTACGAAATAGACAAATATATTATTTCTACTATAAAGTATATATACACATTTGAATCGATTGTTTAAATAATTAACTATTAATCCCATTGGGAAAAAAAAAAAAAAAAAAAAAAAAAAAGTCCATCGAGCGAGGGGTACACCCATGATGTAGGACTAGTTGCACACAAAAGATATACAACGTTCACCAATTGGAGTGAATAAGGGGAATGAAAAGAAGCATGAAAGTGAGCAAGTGAGGCCGAGGGGAGGGATTGGTCGGCACCGCTGCTGGAAGGAATGTTAATAGCGCGCCGGGGCCCGGGCTTATCGCTCATTCCGAGGAGCCGAAAATACCGGCCGGCCGAGCGAGTATGAGCAACCGATAAGCGCGGGGGGAGAATGCACGGCAGCAGTGATTCGGATTAAAAGCTTGGGCCTCTCGTGTACGAGGTGGCGCGGTGCATTCCTGTATATATACGTACGTACGACAGGTCGAGCCGCGGATCCACGTGGGCCTGCAGAGGAGGATCTACTACCAGCATACACGCATACTCGGTCAATAATTCAGCCGGCTAACAGCCTAGTCCTGTCCCACTACATAATGCAGCTTGGCCCCTCTCGGTCTCGCTCCTTGTGCTTTTAAAGTGTCAAGCGCGGACTCTCTTCGATCTGCCTCCCCTATACGTATATATATATACACATACAAAGTAGGCGCGCTTGGCTCTGGTACAGCCCGACTCGGTGCCTCTGAAATATTCATCGCGGCCTGTGTGTACAACCACACCCGTGAATGCTCCAACACTTGTTTCCTCTCCTACGCGGCCTTACTTGTACATTGTATTATGTGTATATGTATATACAGGTGACAGACCCCCTGCAGAGAGGGGGACCTTCCCAATGAACCCTCTGTTAAGTAGGTATACCCATGCGGTACGTGTAAGCTCCGCGGAGGAGGGGTTTGGGCGCGCTTGTGTTTCGATGGAGTTGTGCACACATCCGCGCAGCCTGCAGTCGGTCGGATGCCGATGAAATATGGAGCACGGACTCGCGGGAGGAAGAAAATTCCATCTCCCGATCATGATATCGGCATCGTTTCTCCCCCTCGGTGCTACGAGAGCTCCGGATACATATATTTTTCACCTCTTCCAACGGCCTGTCCAACTCGCTCCTCTGCCACCTATATGATCTACACTTTTATTATCATCTCCCACCCTCGCTCGCTCGCGAAATCTGTCGATCTCGCCGGTCGAGGGCGTTTTTCACCTTCCTCTCCAAGGGTCCTACTTTGTTTTCCCTGTACACCTATAATTTACCCACGTAGGTGTACCCGTGGGTTTTAGAAAAAGAAAAAAAAAAAAAAAAAAGTGAAATCCGCTCTACAGCTTTTCGAGCCGTACATTATATGGTCTCCGACCAGTGGGGCGTCAACTGTACATTTTCGGCAAATGGAAAAGCAATAATTGACAGTTGCCAAGTACTACTTTGGCTGTGTACAACTATAAAAAAAAAGTAAAAAGAGAAGAGAGAGATTTGACAAAGTAGTCGCGGGGATGACGTTCGTTCGTTGTTCGTTTTCAACATCGGGTGTATTTCGGTGATTTCCCGCTGTCTGTCATTAGTTGGCGAGCCAAACTGGTTTCCCTCCTCTCAACTCGATATATAT